AGAGAGAGAGAGAGAGAGAGAGAGAGAGAGAGAGAGAGAGAGAGAGAGAGAGAGAGAGAGAGAGAGAGAGAAGTGGAAGGATTGTATCGATGACCAACTGACACGTGGCGTTCATGTCTTTTGCATGGTAAACACGGATCTGGACGCTAGATACATTGGGACTACTAAGGAACGGACATGCGGCCGTTTAGATATGGATGTCCGGAAAACCGGACACCTGTACTGTCCACATGGGAGGTCGGGACCCCAATAATATCTCTGAAAACAAAAAACAGAAAAAAGGTATCATACGCAACTTCAGAGCCCAGAGATTACTTACCATTACAGGGACCCCCAAGAAACTTCCTGAGAAATTCAGGGCCGAAAGGAGGCCACAGCCGTGCATCACCTGTCACCATCCCTCCTCCTCGTCCTTGTCGCCCATCCTCCTCGCCATCATGGCCTTTCCACGATTAAAAAATATCAGTTTTTGGTTATTACCACCATCATACACCTCCAGCCATCCTGAGGGAAACTTCAGAGAGAACTGAAAAGTGAGGAACAGAGGAGAGATTGCTGTCAAACGGAGGAAGAGAATGCAGTGAGCCCTATACCTACCCAAGGAATGATTTGCACGTCAGTATCGCTGAGAGCCTTCACCAGACTTTCCTCTGGCTTCGCACTGCTCCGGTATAGTTACCATCTTTCTGTCTGAACAAGCGTGCTCACACTAAAACCTCTCACAGACCATGGTGGTTGGTGGATGGTGCGTGGGCGCACCGTCCGCCAACCACCATGGTCTGTGAGAGGCTTGAGTGTGAGCACGCCTGTTCAGAGCAGAAAGATGGTAACTATACCGGAGCAGTGCGAAGCCAGAGGAAAGTCCGGTGAAGGCTCTCAGCGATACTCACGTGCAAATCGTTCATCGTGGGTGCATCGTCCCCCAACCTTGATCTGCCATGAGACATTTGAATGTGAACATGCCTGTTTGGACCCGAAAGATGGTGAACTATGCCTGAGCATGGCGAGGCCAGACAAAACTTATGAGGCTCGCAGCAATACGTACGTGCAAATCATTCAACTCACCTCAGACACCTTCAAGCCTATTAATGTATGTACACTGTACAGGACAAAGCCTAAGCTGAGGCTCAGGACATACTCACAATCAGGGCACCTAATCATGGTGAGGCACATCCAGGTCTAGGACAGTCCTGGGGTGACTATGCTCTCAGAATGACGTCAACACCACCGCAACCTCACAATAGCGAAAAACAAGCTGCAGGCCCTCGGCTACAGCCAAAATGCTGGCCAACCTACAGTATGGAGAAAGTGAGTGAGAATAAACTGGACAACCTCCTCACTAGTGGATTGACACCCAGAAAATATGATTGACTCGACAAATCCATGACAAGGAAGGAACGTAGTGCAGCTTGGATGAATATGGAGAATCCGTGACATTGGAGACAAGGCATAAGGATGACAAGCGATACGGGAAAATAAGGCATCTTTATGATCCCCCTTACCTAGACATATATACCCCATAAGCTCTACTCTAGCACAATACTAAGAGGCCAACATGGGCCAAAAGGTGAGGGGTCTTCCAAGAAACGTCCTAGCAAAAAAATATGACCTTTCACCCCTGCTTTGTGACTCACTATCATGACTGCAAGGAACATGAATATGGACGAAGCACAGAAATCCAGATTGCAAAATCACACCGAACTCCAAGTAGTCAAAGCAAGAGCAGATAGCACAATGGAACCGAGTAACCATCCATTTGAGAACGATGCAGAAGAATCATGAGTCAATGTCCAAGCCCAACAGGGCAACACCAACAGCATAACCCAATGTGGCTCTCTCTCTTCAATGGCGCCAGGCGCCCTACCTACTCTACAGCCTAACACTACAACTACAGTATGAAAGCAACCAGACAACTTGACGACCAGCGAGTGATGATATCAACACCAATGCCGACCTCCCATCTCCACCAGGTACGTCTCCCTAATAGACTCCCTCTTCATCCACACTCTCCCTTGTTATCCCACACAGCGCCCTTCACCTCCGAAGAACCACCTTCGCCCTTCCTCCTCTGCGCCCTCAGGCAGCCCGGCTATGGCCGCCAGCGCCCTGCGCCCAGGCAGCGCTCTACCGCTAGCGCTTGCCTGCCTCTGCTCAGCCTAGCGCAGCGCAGCACACATGCATCGCAGCAGCGTGCCGGCCTTGCTCGCAATGGCCAAGATCCCCTGCCCACTCGCCCTGCTTGCCTATATGCCAGTGTTGCGTGTGGGCGGCCTCCCCTTCAGCCTGCGCCTGGGCCCCGGTACCTGAACCCAGGTCCGATGCRGTTGGGGCCCGGGAGATGCAGTTGTGCCTCCTTCATCAGGGCMTGCGGCCAGATTCAGATAGTGGRCCGATTTCCCATTGGCATTTTCGGCCTCTATTTCCAGTATGCAATGTCGGCCTCACGTTTATGTGCCCAGGGCCTAACCAACTCTGGGGCCCTGGGATTTCTGCATTTGCAGAGCTCCGATTCTCGGTGCCTCCAACCAACTGGCGTGCTGCAACTGTATGGACCCCACTTCGAGAAATGTTTGCACAGAGGGCTCTTRTTGATTTGCTGGCCCGCCTTCACTTAGGGCGGGCACGAGGCTTGCTGGGGCCTTAGCCCAGAACATGTACATCATGGCAAGGCCCCTTMTTGAGGGCTCAATCCTCACATGACCCAGTAATGGTCCTAAGTCCCTCACTGCATAAAGCATCAAGAAACACCCGGAGTCGTATGTACCATGACAGACATTTGGAAGGTCAAACAGA